CCGCCCCTGCTAGTTCCCTCTAGTCTTTCACTGCTAAATAAGGGACCGCTAGCGCAGATAGCCCTCGTGTAGCTTTGCGCGAAATTCATAACAAACAAACGTGTACCTAAACCCTTGGCCAATGTGTCGTAGAAATACCATCAACACTCAATATTTACACCTTGTATCCTCTTTCTGTACATATTTTGTACAGAATATGCATATTTTAAACTTGATTATAGAGAATAAGATATTTCTTTTACTATCCAAACAAACTCAGAAAATAGACAGTAACAGCCTAATATATCAAGTTTTAGAAAATTTAGTGTGTTAAGTTTAATCGTTTATATATTCGTAGTGAACAACAATTCTGTGTTTTCTGTTTATCCAGGAGGCCCGTTTAACATCTTTAACAGAATCACAAGTACAAGGTAAGAATAATGAAATATGAATATTAGGTATTGCCTTTAGAATTATTCTGGTCTTTGTGATGACAAATGCAGCGTTGGAATTTTAGTTCTGGAAGACTAAGCATAGCAGCTGTACGTTAATATTGATGTAGGCTATTTAAACTTCTGTATTTTTGGTTTGTTTGTTTTGGGGCTAGAGCTTGAAACAAAACAAAAAAAAAGGTTTTGAGGTCACGTGGTGAGCGCATGGCTTATAACGCCTATACATTTTTCTTTAAAGTATGGGAAACTAATTGAACAGTATAAGGCATTAGTTAGGTTACAGAAATAATGATTGTTTTTTGAGTCTGTTATAGAGGATGAAGTGTTGGTGATTTTGTTTGTCAGTTTTTCCGTTTCTAACAGTCATTTAGTCAGTTATTTCAGTTTTGTGATTATTGAGATTGTATTCCAACGAATTACTTTGAGCTACAAGAAGTACATTACGGACGAAACAATTAGCGTCTACTGTGAACTTAGGCATATATCCGTGAATAGCTAACTTGTATATAGGAATTGAAGTTCAAGTTATCAGTAGGTGAACTGGGCTTTGCATTCTTCTTTTTCGCCGAATAATCCAAAAGACCCTCCAAAAACTAAAAACCATTACCACAGCATGTTGTTTTACTGTTCTTTGTATCATACAAATCGCGTTATAATCATGGGCGTAACCTTCAAGCATTTTAATGGTCACAGAAAAATAAATGTAAAGGTCGTCAAAAATGATGGAGCAAGTACTACCCCCCCCCCACCCTATAGTATACCCTAACCTCACATTTCATAGCTAACTGAAATAAATAAATTTAGAGTCTCCGTTGATTAAAGAGGTTTGTTTTTATTAAAACGTTAGTGATATAACAGAAAATAACTTAATTCAGAAACGATTTAAGTATAAAACTGAATCAATATTTTTACTTTCATGATACATTTTATGCACTTGGCTCTAGGCTAGGTGATCCCACACCATATCTTTACTTTAGGCTTATTATACCAACACTCATTACACATAAGATTTCACGGCCCCACCATTCTCATGGCCCCCACGCACCCCCCGTCACTAAAATCGTAATGGGCAGAAAGTATTCGAAATATTCTATCTGGATAAATGCATTATGGCTTTTATGACTCCTCCTGTTTCGAGAAATCAAACGTGACGTGACACACACTGGCTTTTATATAGGTTAGATTAAAACTAAAAGACAGATTTAAAATGGGTCGATTTTATGTGTAGCACTGGTCAAACTGTCGTGTTGTAGGTCTAGCTTTCCGTTGAATTACCAGTTTAAATTATAAGCTAGCCCTCCCATTGCAGTACCAGTTTAATAAATTGTCGTTTTAAATAAAAGTCCACGGGTACAGCTTTTGAGTAGATTATTTATTTTTTTTTATTTTTGTTGTCGTCATCAAGTAACTGTAGTCTATTGTGTGAAATACTGCGCAGTATTCCACACAACAGTTACCTGATGATGGTCACACGAGTGGTTGAAAGGTTGTAATAAAGTTAAGAATAAAAACAAATAATCTACTGAAAAAGTTGTATCTCAACAAATAATCCATTGAAATGTTGTATCTCTGGACTTTTATTTTACTTTTATCGTTTTATAAGCCTAGCATTCCGGTTGCAGTTCCAGTTTAACAAAAATGTCGTGTTATAGGCCTAGCATTCCCGTTTCAGTACCAGTTTAACAAACTATCGTGTTATAGGCCTAGCATTCCCGTTTCATTACCAATTTAACAAACTATCGTGATATAGGCCTAGCATTCCCGTTTCAGTACCAGTATAACAAACTATCGTGTTATAGGCCTAGCATTCCCGTTTCAGTACCAGTTTAACAAACTATCGTATTATTGGCCTAGCATTCCCGTTTCAGTACCAAGTTTAACAAACTATCGTGTTATAGGCCTTGCATTCCAGTTTCAGTACGAGTTTAACAAACTATCGTGTTATAGGCCTTGCATTCCAGTTTCAGTACGAGTTTAACAAACTATCGTGTTATACGCCTACCATTACCTTTGCAGTACCAGTCTAATAAATTGGCGAACAATAACTTATAGGTCTACTCCTGCTGGTCGCAGGACGGGTATAATTTTGTAGTATAACTAAATAAATGATATCATAGTTTAATAGAATAGAACAAAAACCCAACCAAACTAGCGTATAACTGCATAAAAAGAATTTCAAAATGTATCATCGCGAAAAACAACAACAACAAAACAAAACAACTGCTGATATATAACCTACATAGCGGTAGATATTCATACACATACCAAAGAAGTGATAGTGATTAGAAATGGTAAAGTACATTTTAAAATATGTGTAAATAATAATTTTGAAGCCTACTGCCCTCAAGTGGCTCAGCGGTAAGTATACAGGGTTACAACGCTAAAATCTGGATTCGATACCCGTGATAAGCATGAAAAAAACAAACTATGTGTAAATAATAAACCGACTAAATGTTATTAATAATACTTCACAATGGATAATAAATAAAATACATCTTCTGAAATTGGCTTTCCAGCCCAAAATGATCATATATCACTATGAACAGCGGCGTTATAAAATCTAAAAAATAATCTGACGATTAATGTTTCTTTGAAATTTAAGCGCAACGCCATGCAACGAGTTATCTGCGCTGTGCTCACTGCATGTATTGAAGCCAGTATTTTAGCGTTGTAGCCCCTCAAGTTTATCTCTGAACCACAGGAGGACTTAATAATTAACGAAAGATTCTCGGCACCGAAAAACTAATTTTAGATATATCTCTTGTTCTTCACTTTATTAGATAATTAGATCAATAGACACAACTAACTAGAGAGAAACGGTAATTCCAACCTTGGATAAGATACTGTAGTTAAACATACAACCTGTTCTCTGAATAGGGTACTGTCAATATACCATGGCTGTGAATTTTGATTGTATATACGTTCCTAGCTGTGTACACTTACATAAGTATCGACACATACACGTTCCTACTTAGTTAGCCTCGGGTGACTAACAAATGCGTATTGTGCAGTATTCTTGGTTACTCAGTTAAGAAAATTTATATTGCTTACACAGTTGTAAAAATATTTGAACAGCATGCTGGTCAGGAATGAGGTTGGGTGGTACACCACATTACTGAAACTGAGGGAGCTACTAGTGAAATGTGCTTGGTATGGCCTGGTGGTTAGGGCGCTCGAGTCGAAATCTGAGGGTCGCGAGTTCGAATTTCCATCGTCAAATGCTCGTCCTACATGGCTGACGACTGGACCAGCTATAGGAGGTGTAAAAAGTCCTGACTTACTTATAACAACGTTTCGACCCATAGAATCGGGTCATCATCAGGTAAAAGTTACATTTCAGATATTCGTTCAGCTTTGTTGAAATACAGTAATCGTGTTCTCGTGATGAAACCGTAAAAACGAAACTTCGAAAAAAATTAAAATACGTTTTTTGTTGTATGACACGTATTTATGCCAAAAACTTCAGTGTGCGCTACGAACATTCACATCCCAAAGACTACCTGTTCTTTCCAGGTGTGCTATGGCCAACTTTTAGTTACTTCAATACTTCTGGGTAAAATATCAGATATCGTTATTTAGGGTACTGAAGCACACTGCATAGGAACGTCGTCAATATGTGTCAATATTTGAAAAAAAAAGCCATCAAAATATTTTGCACTTTCATTGATGAACAAAGAATTACTAAAACATTAACTACAAGAAAGTTTTACATGTCGTTAATTTCACGAACTGTTTGAAGCTACGTTTACCACCAACTACAAGAATACTTTACAAAAAAGTTAGTTATTTTCATGAAATAAATTCCTGAAACTGGGATAACAACCAACTACAAAAGAATATTTTATGAAGTGATTCTTATGAATTTGTTGAAGTTATAATATTTCTTGATTTTAAGCAGATGTTGACATATTTTCTCTTTGTGTACCATATCCAAACAGGACGTTGGTGACCATGGTCTTACATATATCTCTTCTGCTTAAAGCACAGAGTATTTCCAATGTCGATACATTTAACCATTTAGATAGGCTCTTGACATAAGCCAACCTCTGTCTTCCACGATTCTCTTCTTCTTGAGACACAAAGAACGTCCAACATCGATACATTCATCCATTTAGATAGACTCTGGACATAAGTCAACATCTTCTTCAACTGTCTCTCCTTCCTTCAATCTTTCCAGTTAAGACTAGACTTTCAATTTCCTCTTCGCTCATAACGTGTCCGATAAACTCCAACTGTCTGTCTCTTTCTAATGTTAATCAGCAGCTTCCTCATGCAACCTGCTCTTGACAGAATATCTTCATTTCCGTTATGACTTGTCCAACATATCTTTAAGTTAAGAACCACAATTCAGTTGGACATATTTCCATGCACACTAATTTCAACCTTCTATTTAAGTACATTCTGAGAGGGCAATTCTGCGACGAATAGTGCATAACAGTACAAGTCTTTAGGGGTAGTATAGCTTCTACAAGAGTTGCAAAAACTTTTGGTATTGGATTTCTAGGTATTTGTACGACATTACAAGGCACATGTTGTAATGGAAAACTTAAATAACTCTTCATCACACGAGTTCAAGAAAATCAAACCACCTTGTAATAACCAATATTTTTATTAGACTCTTTTTCAATATTCGTATGAACGACCAATTTGAAAGCTAAGACTACATTTGTCCTGTACTTCGTTCCTACAAGAAGGAAGTACATTTCCTGCTTTGATCATGATCGTAGTGAGGTTGAACTTGTTCAAAAACACCAGAAGTTCACTGAAAGGACAATCAAGTAATCACGATAAATCGTTCTCTATAAAGAGATGGAAATACACCTACTACAGCTTCTTCTACATATGCGTGTTTCTCAGAATTAGAGCACGTGACCATTTTATTTTAAAAACATAATTGTATAGTGTGCTGCTCGTTTACATTTACATGCAATTTCTATTCGATCTTTGGAAATATTCAAATTTTAGCTTGTAAATATTCGAAGAAAAGCGTGACTTCCTGAGAATTTTTAAACAGCTGTAACATCGCGTGCTATGTGCCTTTCATTCACAGGATAAAAAAAAGGACGTTAAAAAAAAAGGATGGTAAAAATGTAATCCTTTGGAAAACCGCCAAAAAGACGGAACTTTTCACGGCTGGAAACTGTCTAGCCTTGACAGGGTATAAACGTGAGATAAAATAGTAGTATCTAAACTCCAACATAAAATAAATATTACAGAAAAAAAAAGGATGCGAAATAGATCTATCAAAAACTATAAGCAGAGGCGTGGCCAAGGGGGCGGGGGGAATGGGCCCGGCCCCTCCTGAAAACATCTAGGCTTATTGATCACATATTATGTTTCAGCTTTTATATATAGTAAACCTTAATTACAAAATAAAATTTCTATAAACACTATTACAATTGATTAAATGATCATTTTATTAAAGATTTAGATCAATTTCAGCTTTTTAATTTATTGCCCCCCTTAAAATTTTCTGGAAAACCTGGCTACGCCACTGACAATAAGTTAAATTCTAAGTGCCTGCCCGCATTGTTCTGTAAGTGTTGGGAGACAAAACAGGTTGAACCATTTTCTAATTATCTGTACTTAATCATTCACATGTGGTTTATAGTTCTATAACATTTTAACTAGAGCAGTAGTGATGATCCTACGACGACAGGTCTTGCTTACATTTGAAAATACCTTTATATGGAGTTTTAAAAGTCCCAAAATACCACCGAAAGTCTCAAGCACTTCGAGGAGTTACCTTTTCTTTGTCTAGATTTAATTATTTCAGAGTACACCAGAGTGGTTAAATGTTAAATATTGATTTTTTATTTAAATAGAGTTAAATCATAGAACATGGACAAATATGATTTAATCTTTAAGCCCGCATCCCACCAAACATGCTCGCCCTTTCAGCCGTGGGGGCGTTATAATGT